TGAAAAATACAAATAAACAAATAAGATTTCATCTGAATCAGTATGAAATATGGTTTATATGTTAGTCAGGATTTCGTACAAATTATAGTTGCTTCCGTTCAAAACCTAAAATAATGTCCGGTAAAAAAAATTAAAACACCTGCAACATATTAAAATATAATGTCTGTCAGCGCCAATAGAATTTTCCTAAAATTGAAGAAATTGGCTGGTTAAAAATTTTTCTCAACAGCTGGTGACTGTTCCACAAAGTTTTAGGAACAAATTTGATTTAGAAATGATATACCCAATATTAACGTAAGACTAAAATGAATGTTATCTGTACCAGTACTTAAAACTTTATAGGACAACAAAATTTCATAATAAAATCCCACAGAGTACAAAAACCTATAATCTACTATTATGTAAAGTTAAAATTAAGAGTCTTATGTTGTTAGGCAAATATTACCTCACGATTTAATTACTTATACTTACATGTATAGCTTTTATAAGTTATTATTCTAATGCATATATCAATTATATTTTATAAATGTCTTGAAAGAGGAAATAAACATTTCCGAAAGCTTGATAACAAACACAGAGTGTTCTTATTATACTAGCCCTTAGCACTGTTGACTGCATTCCCAAATACACCACTTTCTCAAAACGCAAAAAGTTTGATTAAATTTTCATAAATTTCTTTTTTGTCATTGCTGGTAAATGAGCATATTAATCATTAAATGTGTGGCATGTCCTGTTCAGAACCTTGTTACATTCGCCGTGAAAAAAGAATAAGTTTAAAATATTACTATTCGAATAATTATTCATTTCATCCATCTTTAGGAAAACAGAATCGTCAGTGAGTCTTTTTTTGGTACTTTGACAGGGCATAACCTTTAGTTTTCATAGGCAACTATGAGTTTCTTACACGAAACGTGATTTTTCGCATTTTAAACAGAAAAGTGGTGATAAATCAGGAACCATCAAGAATAACTATAGCAAACCTTGTATGTACTGACGTAGATTTTTCTAGTGAATCCAGAAACGCGTAAGGAACCCCATGACTTCTACTTTCATTGACCAAAAATAATGATTTTCGTGTGAACAGTTTCTAAGGCATATACTTTTGAAGTCAATACTGCTGCATGCATTTTTTTTAAATCGCATTATCTTGAAAACGGCTAATTTTAAATACCTATGGAAAAGTTTATACAAAAGTGACCCTAAAATTTAATGTAGAATCCAAAAATGCAATAATATACAGAGTGTTCCATTTAAAATAACAATGTTGGTGGCACTTCCGCTTATTGCAATGAACATTACTAAAAGGATTATTTCTGGAAATTTAAGTAAATAGCTTAGTGCCGCAAGCCAATATGTAAGTTCCTGAAGTGCGGCTTAGCGGTACTTATTATGATATTCACTTCTATCTAAACTTTAGAACCTGAATATTTAAATATCTCAAATTTAAAACTAATAAAAACGAATACTATACTTTAGATTATGTAAAAACTATTAAAATATACTTAAAATTTCTTAATACATCTTAGACGCGAGTTTTATGTTCTTGTTTAAAATTTTTATCGGATCAATAACATATTAAATTTAGATGGAAAACAGACACGTTTCTTTGAATTTATGTGTCTACATGCCGCAATGCGCCTTTGTCATTCAAATTTTATTTAGAATAAGCTTTCATATTAATTCGAATATTTTCGTGGATTTCACTAAAACTGATTTCGTAGGTGGAAACTTATGATACCAGAGTTTAATTTGGAAGGTAATTTTTTCTGCTTCCTTTTCGATAATTTAAAATTTTAAAAAGGCCAATTTTGTATTTTTATACAAGGTATCCCAAAAGTATGGAAACCCTAGAATAACTCGGAAGTAAAGGGCTATACGGTAAAACGTTTCATACAAAAGTTGTCTGAAGTGGTCTAAAAAAAATCAAAAATTTTCCGCTCTTTCTAACTCCACAATAAAAAATATGGGTTACCCTCACAAAGATTGACCCCTACCTTGAAATAACCATGATCTCAAGGTCATGGTCAAAGCCAAATTAGGACGTAAAATTTTCCGCTCTTTCCAATGGCGTGATAAAAAGTAGGGGTTCCCATTTGAAAAAAAATGACTTTGACCTTGAAATGACCTTTAAGGTCAAGGCCATGGTCAAATTCAAGGTCATCATTCAATAGCGTAGAAAAAATCCTGAAACTTTTGTATGAATCGTACTTCCGAGTTATTTTGGGTTTTCCATACTTCTGGGATACCCTGTATAAAGAATTCGTCTTTAAATTCTTAGAGATCTTATAACTAGATTCAATTTTAATGCATCGATTACGTTTAATTGCAGATCCTGCAAGAAGGGGGTTAAAGGTTTATGTAAGTTGCGTATAGGCAAGATATAATGTATACATTATGCCATATTATCTTAAATGTCATTGCTACTGGCATAAAAACAATACATTTTATTTCTACTGGTAGAAAGTGACCTACTAATCTGTTGGTACGATGCAAGCATCACTTATGTACAGTGTCGGCTGGTGCGGGATGCCTGGGGCACCCCCCCTGTAATTTTCATAGTAAAAAAATTTAATTTACAATGTCATCTAGGTAGTTAAATATGTTAGTCTTATGAAATACATTAAAAAGAAATGTTAAATTTGTAATGGTACTCAAATTAAATCGACTTGCAAAATTAATTTGAAAAACACTGAATACGTGGACTCCTCATAGCTCGTCCCTAAATCTGTAAAGCGGTGGTCATGGTTATCGTCGCGCAGCAGTGAAAGACGGAGTGGGAGTAGCGCATAGTAAAGTAGTGTAACAAAAGCCGTGACGCGTAATAATTTATTTGTTAGATCTCGGAATGGATGGGCCAAAAAGTAAAATATTTCAGTCAACACAAATTATAGGATGTTAAGGGCTCTCAAGTAGATTTAGCGTCGTCCTTCGGAGAAATTTAGCAATACTTTTTTAACAAGTTCACTGTCGGGGCCATGTGTTGAGCAGGTATAAAGAGAAAAATCGATATTTCAAATAACGCGCAAAATGTATTCCAAAGAACGTGGAAATTCTAAGAATAAGTTGTTAGAATGTTGTGAGGAAAAGAAAGTAATAGATCAAATAGCTGGTTTTTAGGCGGAATTTCCAAGCTATTAAGAATATATTAAATGAGATGGACTAATCTGTCCCGTATTGCTATGCGGAGTCACAAGAGGAAGGTATAGGCTTGTTTGTAAGTTTAGTCTCAAAATTATTTAGACAAATGTAAATTCAGTCCATTAGACAACTAGTAACATGGCATAGTTATGCCAAAGCGTCCCAATATACAGGGTTCCCGCCAGTAAGATAAGAACAGAAACGTCTCGACCCAAGAAATGGGCGTGTCGAAGTGAAGTGTCGAATTCAGGAGAGATCTACGAAAAAGAGACAGTTTTTCCTTAGGTTCCACTTTGAGCAGTCGACTTAGTTTTAGAGTCTCGGGTTAATTTAATAATGGATAAAATCATTCCAAATTTTGCTATGGATCGCGCATTCCCTGAATTTTGGGACGCTGTCGCGTGTAAATAAATAAATTAATAATGTTGTTCGAGCCGTTGTGTAGTTTGTTTGTTTGTTTGTTTGTTTTGCTTTTATTGTTATTAAAACCCTTCCTGCAAGTTTTGGTGTTTCTTTTTGCTTTTCTCAACTTTAGTGTCATCCTGTATAGCCAGCCACTGGATAAGCAATAGAGGGTAAGTGCCAGAAATTCATTCTCTGAACGTACAACATTTCTAAGTTCCCACGTATTAATTAAAGTATGATGATAATTGTAAACTCCCTTTCGAGAATTGAATGGTAAACTCTCTTGAAATCCACACTTGTTATGATACTGGTCATAACGATATATAGATAAATAAAGAAATAATTCCTCAGGTTACAGTAGAGAACGCATTAGGCGGTCGCGGTCCCGTCGCATCGCGGTCCTTCCGGGCTGAGCTGATCGCGGTCTTTTACAAAATCAGTCGCATTTGGCAATTGCACACGATCCTGCTCGCGCTCTCCTTTAAATAGTTGCGGTACTGTTTTAGTAGCGAAGAAAATGAGTTCCATGGAAGAGGAAGCTCGTCTCGATCGCATGGTCTCCCGAGATTCTTTGGAAAAGATCGGAGGAGAACGCGATGCGAGCGAGACGAGCTCGGAAACGTCCACTGCGAATGCATAGGTATATTATATTTTATGGGAAGGAACACCACCGCGCGCGATCGAGACTAGCACGGTCCGCGATGCGACGCGACGGGACCGCGACGGGACCGCGACCGCCTAATATGCGTATTCTACTTTACTATGCGCTTTGTGCTCTATTTAGTTTACCCGTAATCAAATAAGCTATTCACCGTGCGGGGTAAAATTTTGTTACCCACGTATTATTTCTTATGTGTTCGTTTAAAGATTGTAAAAGTTTAAATTAGATTGTAAACACAGAGTAACAATACTTGCTATCTATTAATAAATCAATGGTGCTAGAAGTATCAAACTTTAATTAAAAAGTAATTGAAAAGTTTATTTCGTACAAAAACAGATGAATGGACTTTCACTAAAAAAATAATGTTGAGCGTATTTTCCCTGTATTTCAATAGTACTTAAAATAAAACTACCTAATTATATTTAATTTTTTTGATAGGTATTTTGTACTTAAATATTTCCGCCCTCCCTGCTGTGGAAGTCAAGAGCCGCCACTGCTAACTGTGGCATACTGATGAGAATTAACAAATAATTATTTTAACAGATCATATTTTCAATACAGTAATATTATTTGAAATTTTAAAGGACAGTTATTAATCCCCTTTTAATAATTTTTAAATTTACCGAAATTTAATTGCCAATGCGAAGGGAATAAAATTACTGGTTACGTGGCTTGTAATCATTTATGAAGGCTCTGTAGGTATTCAGAAAATATTAATTCAACAATTTTTTTGTTTCTAATGATTTGACTAGATAATTCGTCAACTACTTTCAACTCTAAAGAAATATATACTTACAGACGAAAATAGTCCGATGAACACGGAAACGGAAGAATGTCCAGAAGGAAAAGATCTAGAACTGTCCGTTATGAAATATCCTCCAAATCTGGTACTCGTGCATGTATAGTCTTCAACGAAGGATCCATTAACACAATTTTTATTTGTATCAGGTTCGCACACGTCGAAAAAATGTGGTCGATGTTCACCAACTACTGCCTTGGCGACTTCAGTTATCATTAACACAAGGGTACATCCAATTATACATTCTTTATAATAAAACCAAAGTTCACTAACGAACACTTTCTTAATAGTTTGTTTCATTAAAAATTCAGTGAGTAGAAGCATACACAGTGGCAGGATTGTTGAACCAACCATGAGCACAGCTGGCGATACTGTGTCTCCTCTGTACTTATGCGATATTAAAGGGTCGTTGCAAGTGTATCCTAGCTTCGTTCCAGGTATGTATCCTAATTCTGTGATGATCATAACAGTTGTAACTGAAATGAAAAGGTACAGTTAAAAATCGAGGTTATAAACTGTCTGTCAAACAAGCTGCAGCGCATTTGTCTTTATGTTATTAACTGAAAGTCTAAATTAAACTTACACACAAAAAATCTGTTGATTCGCATTTTTATATACAGCCGGCCACCAATCAATTGTATTTTGGATGACCTGCGACGAGGAGAAAAATACTGTTATTATTTGCACCAATCATGAATGATAAAATTTTGAAGGGAGAATATTGGTGAGGTAGCATATTACGCCTAATATACAATATATTACTGTATGGTGGAATAAAATTTGTATAAAATTAAAAATTAATTATAATTAATGTTACTATTTGCATGTATTTATTTTTTTTATATGTGTTGTCAGTGTCAAATAGGGCCATAGAGAAAAATATTGAGAAATTCTGATATTGGCTCGTGGTCTTTCGTTAATCGCGTTTCTCAACGCAATTGTACTAAGTATGTGTGTGTGTAATAACTATGTAATTTAAATTTACAATTGAATTGTATTACAGTGACAGTTGTGACGTTTATAAAATATTTAGGTGTGCTTATTCATTATATCGTAATTATTTAGGTAGGTATGAGAATAATTCTTCGTTGTAGAAAATTAAAAACAGGATGTTGGATGCCTGGATGTTAAAATACGTTCAGTTCAAGTTACTGTTTTCCAATAAAAGATAAATAATAATTCTTCGAATAATGGTTGAGTTTGACTATCTCTCTAAATAATGACGTTTTCCAGGTTATATTTTTTTAATTATTGATTTACTATTTTATATTTATTGTTATAATTTTATATTTACTTTTGTTTTGTCACCACAATAAAAAAAGGAAAAGTTATTTTATTATATTTTAAAAACTTTCTAGTAATTTTTCACAAATTTATATTTTCGCTTACTTGGAAAATCTAGTATGGTACTATTCAAATATATTTTATAATACATTTTTGTATTCTTAAATACAAGGTGTTTCGCATAAGAACCGACACAGAGCATGGGCATGCAAGGAAACCAAAAATATGGCGATTTAACGCAACTTACCTTTATACTACACTGTACCCCTGATAAGTTATAGGCCTTGAAAGTGGCGATTCAAATTTCGAAAAAAATCAATACCTCAGTTATACTTGAACCAAATTGGTATACGGTGTGAGTGTACCAAAGGCATTAATCGACAGTAAGTAGAGTTCAATTGAACCATTTCAAAGAGTTGATAAGGGATGATGCATCATTAAAATTTTTTAACCCCTTGACGGACTTAAAACTCTTGTTAGTTTTTAAAAAAGGTATTATAAATTTGGATCGGTGTTACTGATCGGTATTTAATTGGTCCAGTTATTTTAGCGAATCGATTAAGTGGAGAAACTTATTTAGAATTTCTCCAAAACACTTTCCCAGATTTACTTGACGAGGTGCCAGTACAACTCAGACTGGAACATTGGTTTATGGAGTTCCTCCTCATTTTACTAATATGGTTAGATCCTTTTTAAACCACCAGTATCCAAATAAATGGATTGGAAGAGGACATAATTGCCCATAAGTTTGGCCTCCACGATGGCCAGACCTCAACAGATGTGACTTCTTTCTTTGGGGAGCGTTAAAAGAATTTGTACATTTCTTGTCAGTTGCGTCTTGAGCAGAATTGTGGAATCGCATTACGGATAAATGCACATTCATTAGAAACAATCAGCAGTTATTGGATAGAATAGACTTCAACTTTCCACGAAGAATAAATTTATGCCTGAGAGAAAATGGTGATTATTTTGAACAATTTCTATAACTTGTCAGTGTAAATTATATGTAATTTGTGTTATATAAGTTGTTTGTTTTTCCATTAAATTATTTTTATTCCAACTTATTTTCCTGATCGTCAAGTTTGACGTTTAAATTCATAGCCAACTTTTGAATTTTCGATCATTTTAAAGTTATTCGTATTTTTGAAAATTAACAAGAATAAGAAAAGTTTTAGAATTAAATTCCCCTAAAAATAATGTAATAATTTTTTAACCCGTTGACGGGTTAAAAAATTCTGTCACATTTTAATGATGCATCATCCCTTATCAACCCTATGAACTGGTTCAATTGAAATCTACTTACTGTCGATTAATGCTCTTGGTACACTCACACCGTGAACCAAACCCCACTTTCAAGAATTAAGGTAAATTGCGTTAAATCACCATATTTTGAATTTCCCAACATGCCCCTACTCTGTGTCAGTTCATATGCGAAACACCTAGTATAATTAGTAATAGTACACAAACATGAGTATGATTGTGTGGTGTGGTTCGAGAGGCATATCTCATTCTTTCGAAGAGGAAACTCTGCAACGCAGTTTAAGCAAGCCCAAGGTGTATTTCAATAATGAACGGAAAATCCTTTTATACAATTGACATAATTTATAGATATACCATGAAGTACAGAAAACTGATTATCCAGTACGTCTGATGGAATTGAAAGTGATTTAAGGTAGGCTATGAGAAGAGCTTCCAAAATATATTTCATGCAACATTGGACGACCATGAACGTATTATGAACTAGAGAATCTACAACCAAAAAACACGGATTTGTTTTTCTGCGCATCATGTCATTTACCACGTTTGGGCCTCTTCTTTTCATTAAAAGTTCAAGAAATTTTGAAATTTCATGTCATACCGTACTTTAAGATCAAATCCAGTTCTTCTATAATAATAATGCTCGACCAACTAGTTACCACTTTCATGCTGCAATTTCTTGCCATGACACCGAAATTTCTAGAGTTTTACCTTAACATGAGTAGAACATATCGGTCAGACTGTAAAATTTACCACATTCTAACTTTAACTACCTACATGGTAGCTTCGCTTAGGCCACTTCTTTTTGTTGCAAAAATTATTCTTTCCCGATTAAATTTGCAAGAAGTTGAACCAAGTCTAACTTTTCAACTTCTAGGTATTATTACCTATCTTTTTTCAATATTTATTGCGTCTTTGTTTATTCAAATATCAAACTTAAACTGTCAAATGTCAAGCTATTGTCACAGTAAAAAATAAAGTACAATACAAACAAGTAATATTACAGTTTAGAGAATAGTTTTTGGATAGGTAGGTACGTTATAAAATAGAAAATGTAAACATTTTGACCATTTATTTAACCTAAGTTACGATATTAATAGTACTATAATTATTGTTATCTGTGGTCATAGTAGAACGTAGTACTAGTTTGTGGAAAAGGACATTTTCTATAGAACATAGTATAATGTCAGATTTAAACGGAACGTCTTTTCAAGACTACATTGATGTGAGGCTTTATGGGTCTACTTATAATGTCAGAAACAAAAAGGAAAATCGAGGGGAAATCGATCAATTCACCTCTTCACTCTTTCTGATATATTACAAATTCTTACGGCAAATTCTTTTGTTCTAAACTAATCAAACCATTGTGCAAAACCATACTTATCGTGTCAACTTCGACGTCACCTGTTACATGAGTGTTGTATAATAATGAAAACGTAATATTGACAGTTGGTAGAAGGAAGCACAAAAACAAGCGCTTAGGTGGAGAATACTGAAAGGAAGCCTAGATAGTTGAAGTTAGAACAGCGGAGAGTGAAGAGTAAGACGATCGGTGCACGGTGAAAATATATAAGTAGTGAAAAATTAAAAGTGTTTAACCGGTATTAGTTAGCAGGTAATATTCTCTAAGTACTTTGTTGTAAATTGTTCTATGTAATCTTATGATTGTGATTATTATAGATGTTTCATGATAATAATTCTGTGTATATATAGCCTTCATTGTCTTACGCTCAGGGGCGTATATTTTTCTAACGTAAAATTTTTACAATTATTAAATATTGCTCATTATTTATTACATGTTAAAGTATGTATATATTGTCGTGACTGCTCGGATATTGCAATAACAACTCCTTTGTTTCACATCTAACTTGTTGTATCATGATTACGTTGTTCGAAAAACAAGTAATACAGCATTTCTTGTTCTCACTTTGTCATACGCATATAAGAGCCCTGTTGAATTTACTAACATTTTCGCCCGTGAGGAATGAATCTGTAAAAAGAATAATTGAATAACAAAAAAGAATTGCCCTGGATTGCCTCCCGTATGGGACTCCATTACCTTGAATTTTATTGTATTTACTTGACGTTTTCCATGCATTGTATTATGTCTCAGTAGAAATGAAGCATATTATTATTATTATTATTGTTATTATTGTTGTTATTGTTGTTACTATTATTGTTGATATTATTACCTTCAGGCCCTGCCGGCTAACTAACACCGAACCTCTTCAGTTTTACTTGGAAGTGTGTATGTCTAATTCGAGTGAGGTGACATTTAGTGAGACATTAAATGAGTCGGGTGTTATTTATCATTAGCAAAGGATCTTAATTTATGCCTTTTGTTATCGGTTGTTTTGTATTTATATTTGGGTAGTTAGAGCAACGATCGTGGGTTTCTCTGCCATGCTCTTTCCCCACAGGAGCTCTAGGTGAGCCTGGCACTCTCATTTTATGTTAAATGGTTGTTAATGTTTTTGTTGTTCTTTCTATTTGTCACA